TGTATTGAGATGGAAAGATGAGGCCCTAGATCCTGAGGTCTCTTCACCTCTCAGCCTTGGGGTGTGTGTGTGTGTGTGTGTGTGTGTGTGTGTGTGTGTGTGTCCCATGGTCAAGGTCAGCAGCATGGCCGCCATTACTCCAGCACCCCTGAACCTGTTACTTCCTCTGTTTTTAATACTCTTCTTCAGGTGTCCTCCCGGCTCACCCCCTACCTACCCTCAGACCCCTGCTGACACTCAGGGGCATCCTAGGGAGACACTTGCCTTGACCCCCACCTCTATAGTCCCTGTCTTCACTTTCTGACCTTTCCCTGCTCTGTTCCTTCATGACACTTGTGGGTACCTGATATCACATCTGGATTTTTCCTTGTCTGTCTCCTCCCCATGGAATGTGAGGTGCATGCAGGCAGGGGCTTGTCTGATGTTGTTGTACCCCCAGTGCCTGGGACAGGCTGCAAATACCTGTGGGTGAATGAATGAGTGTTCCCAGGGCCCTCCTCTCCTGGTGTGTATTTGCCTGTTTCTGAGGGTGGTGGTAAAGAAATTGTTTAGTGCCCCCGGTTAAGCTTTTTGTGTCTCCTCAAATAAATTGTTATTATCATCAGTTTTCAAAATGCAATACTCTGTGATGAAAGACTTAGAAAATGAACAGCAGTTGAAGTTTTCCTGCCCCTTCCAGACCCTGAGATTTTCCTGTTGCTGAGCCCCTCCCCCATTGTACTCTGCTCCAGTGTCCTCTTCCCTCAGGTCCCAACAGAAGCCCCTCCACTTTTGTAAGAGCCCTCTCCTACCCAGGAGACCCCAGCCACTCTGTCTCCCATCCTCCCGTCCCCTCTCACCGGCCAGCAGGAACCCCTGCCAGCGGACACGCCCTCTGCGGGCAGAGGCTGAGGGTTGCTCCATGGTGTCTGCTCTCTTTTCCGTAGTTCCTTCTGAGAAGAGCTTGGGCTCCAGAGACCTCCCAAGAACCGCTGTCCCAACGTGTGGGATCTGCTGTTCCTCCTCCCAGTGTGTTGAGCCTCCTCCCGGGGCAGGAGGCTTCTCTGGTCACGTGGACTGGGGGCGGGGACTCTGCCCTTGAGGTCCCTCTCCCTTCCTTCCCTGTTACCTTCCGTCTACATTTCTGTTCCCTGTAACTGCTGAGGACTCTGCCTGCTTCAGCTGTGACTCCTCGCCCTACACGCACACCGATACATGCAAACACACAATCACACACAGAAACACACAGCTTGTTAAGCACAAGCCTGGGGTGTCCGTGTCCAGGCCATGTTCTACTTTAGATGCATAGTAGCCTCCCTCACAGCTCTCTCTCGTCCCCATCTGGCTTTTCTCTTCAGAGCAGAGCCTGGTGGCTACATGAGAAACTTTTTTTTTTTTTTAAGCTGAGCCGTCCTGCCACCTGTTGGCAGCTCAGCTTGGTCCAGGAATCGAACCGGCGACCTTGTTGCTCAGAGCTTGCACTCTTGAGCGAGCTCTTAACCAACGGAGCCACTAGGCTGGCCCTGAAACTCTTGTTACAGGGAAGTCACCCACACTGTGCATCAGATCACCTGTGAAGCTTTATAAAGATTCTGATGCCCAGCTAACCTGGATACCAGCCAGGCTGAGACCCTGTGGGGAGGGGGTAGGGCAGTTGCCCCCCCACACACACACACACTTCTGTGGGAGGGGCTGCAGATCCTACTAAAAAGCAGACTGTGACTCCACCATGTGTGTGGTGGACCAAAAGTCTGCATCTAACAAACTCTCAGGAGACACTGATCATACTGGCTTGTGGAGCACACTTTCTGTATCAAAGCTGATGGGGACCCCTGTCCCCTAAGAGTACAACTCACCTACCTATCTCAGCATTGGCTCTGCTGTGTCCTGGTTTTGGGTCCCTCAGCACCATACAGAGAGCCCCAGGTGTCCCTGAACCTGGTGAATATCTCCATTTATGATGCAGAAATCCAGCTGGGCACCTGGGTGTTCCCCATGTTTTCAAAGCTCTGGGAAGACTGGATTTCCTCCCAGCAGGAAGGTCACAGAGATGACTGGAGGTGAGAAAAGGGTGAGCTGCATAAGGACTGGTGAGGGTGTTGTGTCTGCTTTCTTGCGGGCCGTGAAAGAATTCACGAAGTCAGGTAGAAATATAGAAGATTATTAAAGTAAGAGAAGGGTGGCTGGGCAGAGTCTGCGGACAACTACTGCAAACTACTACGTCGAGTCTTTGTTTGCTTCAAGTTTTATATTTTCCTGTAGTTGGAGGATGGGGAAGCTGTGGTTAAGCTGGTTATCACAATCTTTGCATACGTTATGTAGATTTAAATTAGAGCCTGGAGTGTGGATCCTATACATATGCAAAACCTCTCCCAAGTCACTGGCCTAAGTAAGTAGAAACTTTGAAACTGCATAGTAAATGAATAGGAAGCAGAATCATTAAGAGACAAAGAAAAGAAACCTTTCAAAAAGCCCCAAGGTAAATTATTAATTTGAATTATATCGGAGGTCCAAATCTCAAAAAGAGAAGATTTAATGCCACCATTACAATCCCTTGTCTTAACGGAGGGGACGGACCCACCTTCTATCTCCAGGTGTCGCCAGCCTGGTCTCTGCTTCCAGGAACAGAGACCCAGGACCAGGCAGGCGTCTCAGAAAGACCTGCAGTTCCCAGATGTGAAGGGGGAGGTGTCCTGTGTGTCCTGGGAAGAGAGGATGGTGTGTGTTGGGGAATGGCGGGGGGAGTAGTATGGTGGCTGTGGGCTCCCTTGTCCTGGGGGGGAAGTTTTCAGGGAGAACCTCTCTCTCCATGTCTGTAGGCTGAGCCCTGGCTCAGAGCTTAGCTTGTCCATGTGCTCATTGACCATTGGGGCAGCCTCTGTCCTCTGTGTTAAGACAGGGGGGATGTAACGGTGGCACTAAATCTTCTATATTGAGATTTGGATCTCTAGGATAATGATTTAACAAGTGTAATGTAGCTTGGGGCTTTTTGAAAGCTTTCTTTCCTTTCTTTGCCTTTTAATGATTCTGCTTCCTGTCCATTTACTGTGCATACGAGTTTCAATGTTTCTATTTACTTCGGCCTAGTGCTACCCTGTGACTAGGCAGAAGTTTTGCATCTGTATGGGATCCGCTCCTGGCTCCAACTTAAATCTGCATAACATGTGCAAAGGTTGAGAAACATGTGCAAAGGTTGAGATAACTAGCTTAAATGCTTCCCCCACCCCAATTGACAAAGCCGAACTGAACAGAAAATTCCACTACTGGCCGAAGCAATTTACATGCTGGTTAGGAAATATAAAACCTGAGACCAAACAAAGACTCGATGCAATGGTTTGCAGTAGTTTCCAGCAGACTCTGCCCAGCCGACCCTTCTCTTACTTTAATAAATCTTCCTTCTATGTCTACCTGACTCGTGAATTCTTTCACGGCCCGCGAGCGAGCAGACACAACACTCTGCATGGAGGATTTTCTTGTGTTCACCCCGCCTTCCTCATGGGTGGTGCCAGGCAGGCAGCCGGGAGCAGCACAGGGACCCCAGACAGAGCAGGTGCTCTTAGGTCCCTAGAAGGAGCAAGTGGGACACAGCAGGCACGTGGGAGGGGCCCAGCAAGGTCTGTGGGATGGAAATCAGGCTCCTCTTCCATTTCCGTTGCCAAAGCCAGGTTCATGTGTTAATTTCCTGTGTGTTGTCTGTGTGTCCCAATCTCGTCCCTGGAGGGCACGACGAGAGTGGGCCCTTCTTGGTGTGACATCTAGGTTCTTGGCAGCTGGAGCAAAGACTTGAACGAGATACGGAGGTAAAGTAGTGAAAAGGCAGTTTTATGAAGAGATAGTACACTTCCAAGAATAGAAGCAGACCCAAACAGTAGAGAATGGCTCAAGGGCCCATTATTAGAAGAGAAATTACACTTCAAAGAGTTTGGAGCCGGTCACGCACAAAGGAAGGAGCTTAGAAGGCGCTCAAGGCTCAAGGGGTTCAAGGTGGCATTATGAGGAGAAAAAGTACACTCCAAAGAGTTGGGAGCGGGCCGAAGAAAGGCAAGGCTCAAAATGCTCAAAAGGGCTCAAAAGAGGCCTGACTGCCCCGGACTTGGAGTTTTTATCTCTTTTTCTCTAGAATGGGCTGTTCTCCTCTGAGTGTGGGACCACCTGATTGACACCTGTGATTGACAAGAGACTATAATGGGGAAGGGAGGTCTTTTGGGCGGTCACATTCTGTTGGACATGCAGGAAGGCAAAGACCCAATGCTTGCCTCTAACTGCCTGTCTTGTTTCCCTTTGAGAGATGTGATCCCCACAAAATCTCTATGGGAAGTTGAGGGACAGGAGATCTTTTCTTCTGTATCTGAGTCCTGAGGGGCAGGGGTGTAGAGGTGTCACTCAGATGAGAGGAAGGGGTCTCAAGATCCGCCTGGAAGACCGTGTTGGCTTCTTCAGTTGTGACTGGCAATCTTGCTGGGGTATCATCTGTATTCCCAAGGACCCTGAATGAGGAAAAATAGATTTTAATTAATAAACCTGTTAGCTGTCATGGAGCCTGTAGCCATTTGACTGGTGGCATCAATTGTGTGGGCCCAGAATGGGTTTGGAAAAAAATCATTAGGCTTACTGGCCTGGGGGATATTAGGAAGTCACAGGCTTTCAAGTAGTT